TTTTATTTATATATCTATTCTAATTTGTATTCTCAAAAAATTTCAATAAATTTAATATATTTTCAACTATAATCTTATTATATTATTTTCAATGAGAATAATAATATTGTTTTCATTTAAAATAATTATTTATATATTTTAAAATTGATAATTTTAACCAATTATTTTTGTTATAAGTTCTAAATAACATGCTTTTGGTTACAAAATTTGATTAGGATTGCTTTTAAGACAGGTTACACCTATTAAATATCAAGTTATTGTTCATGCAATGATAACTTTCTATTAATTCCTGTTTATGTTAAATTCACATTAGCAAATGGAGCATAACATATGGAAATTACACCCATTTCTAAAAACTTGAACGAGTTACTTTAAAAATTTTTATTTAATCCATTAATTCCTTTTTATATGGGAATATATTTTACTTTATTTTCCTTTTACTTAAAATACAATAATGAAAACATGGTAAATACTGAATGTAAGATGATAAAACAAAATTCCAGCTTTTACATAATGATTAGAGTTTAAGTAGATATTTACTTAGAGGTTGATTAACCGGATTCATTAAAATTTAATCAAAATTATGCAAATAGTTTCGATTTTTGCAGATAATATAAGTTTTAAATTGTAATGGAAATTTATACCCTTTTCGAATATATTTAATTTAGGGATCTGGGACTGTAAAGTAATATTTTATCATTGTCCTACATTAAAGATGTTCATTCTCTAGGTCAAGATGAATACACTTGCAGGGTCAAAAGAATACTTTATACACAAAGATAATACATTAAATAAAAAGTATACAGTAACTTCTTTTGAAAAATCACGAGAGAGAGAGAGAAAAAAACAATTAGACTTGCTACTTCTTAAAATGATATTTATAACTGAGAGCAATAACTTTATAATAACTAGAACTACGAACCTAGCTTAAAAGATTTTTCCTCTTTTCATTAACACATGCACATTTTAAGATAATTAAGCTGATTAATTAAGTAAAGTTTATTTTCAGATTTCAAGGCTTGGCATTACAGTTGACGATATTATCTTTCTTTGTTTGCATGGGATGGGGTCGAGTTTATGAAAGATGCGAGTTAGGACGTGAATTATACGAAAGATTTAAGTTTCCAAAGCAAGATCTCTCTAGATGTAAGATTATATATATATATATATTTAAAATATATAAATACATTCATTTGAATAATGTAGAGAAAATTAAATTTATAATGATTATTTCAAGGGCTCTGTATCGCTTATTGGGAAAGTAATTATGATACTTCTGCTATCTATCAGAGTTATGATAATGCCGTAGGCCATGGTCTATTTCAGGTGAGTCCGAATATATTCGAATATATTTCCTGTACATAGGTTAGGTGAGGATAATTCATTGAACTGTATTCGTCATCTAGAAGTAGGTTGGGGGTCGCTTTCTTAATGTTTGATGTTCCTGTTTTATGAAATTAGGGCATTTTATCATTTCCGGTTAATTGTTTTGTATTAGGGAATTCTTTCGATGATTTAAATAAATTCTTCCTAATTAATCATAGTTTATTAGACTCGAGGAAGGTACAAAAAAAAAAAAAACAATTATTGATTCCAATGTACATTAAGTAATTGTTAATTGAAATCTATTTATTTTCAAGTTACAAGTAGCCTCTGTCAAGGCTACATATGCCTATGCCAAGTACGTTTTAAAATAATACGAAAAATGACCTTGAATTTTATTTCCAAAGAATATAATATGAATCGTTAAATCTTAATAGTTCATAAAATTAACAGTGTCGACCTAATTTATCACCAAATCGAGAAGACTGAAAGGAGAATTACTGAACTTAAGTACTAAAAATCGAGGACACTTGATAAAATAAACTGAGTTTTTGAAACGAGAAGGAAATGATTTTAATCAAATTAAGAGAAAAAATCAAACTGGATCTTTAATATTAAAAAAATAAAATAAATAAATCGTTTCATACTCTAAAATATCGAAAGAATTTATGCGTTAATATATCTTATTACACCGAATATTTCGTATAATTCACAGAATAAAATAATTTCTAATTTTGAAATGATCCTTATTTACTATTATGTATATAATGGGTGGCCTAAAAGTCAGTTAACCATTGTAAAGATTAAATTGCCGTCTTATTCAGATACTTTCATCGTTTTTTTTATATCACGATTCCATTAATTTTATGAAAGAAAAACACGTTATAAACTTAATTCATCAACACAGAAATACATAATGGCCTACTCTGTGTATTGTTAACACAATCTACTAATTATTACGCTTATATACAGAGAATAAATCCAAATTTGATATAAACTTCTTTATTTAAATCTTCGAAAAACAGGCTTGAAATAACTATAACATTCTAATATTGAAAATTGATTTAACATTAAAAAAATTCTTGTTCCGTATCTTCCGGTTAAATCTATAAAAATAATTTAAGAAAAACAAACGAAAAACATACATTACAGACATATATTTAAATATATAAAAGTCGTAGAATAAAGGAAATTCTAAAAATGGAAAAATTTACGCTTGAATAATTGACAATGGCGTAACGAACTGAACTCTTGGATATCCTTTTTTTTTTATCCCATCCTGATGTCAATTTATATTAGTAATAGGTAATTCAATAAAAATACCTGTTAATAAGTTTATATTCGAATGGAAAAAAAATCTTCAAATCTTTGAAACTTGTTTTAATACGTAAATCAATGATGTCCTTGACGTCATTAATTTACGTACATGTAAAAGGAATTTTTGAAAATTTTTCAACTCATCTGTTATTATGAAATTAATTTAACGTTAAATCATCTGAATTATTTTCCTCTTCCGTTCGAGATAGTTAAACATTCCTTTCTTAAGAATTTGGCTGAGGATTTATACTGCTTTTTATACTCTCTGACAAAACATTTATAGGTATTGGATGTAGAATAAGTCCTTAAAAAATTTATAGGAATTTTCATAAAGAATATATGGAATTTGATTCGATTAAAGATAATAGAATTGTAACTCTGATTTTGAATAATTCCTCAGGAGCGACAACCTTCGAGGATTCTTTTACTGTCATGGGGAATATCCAAGCTTTTATATTTCAAGCAGACTAATTCTGAATAAAGAAATATTTCTGGAGGTGTTCTAATTTTCGTTACCACCAATTCATAGAATTATCCACCTACCATTTTTCTTAGGTTCTTGCCCCTCAAAACCTACTTTTGTATTATTTTTATAAGTCAAATATTGAGTAAAGCAGAACAATTTTTACATTTTCTTACTTAAGAATCTCAAAAACATTTTTAACACTGAAAAGACATTATGAATATTTTCACACAATGGAACAGTTTTTGTGTTAAAGTTGAATATTCGATTAATAAGAAAAGTTTTCATTGTACAAGTTTATTTTTATAAAAACATTTTTCTATTATTTTTCAGGTTTCTGATAAATATTGGTGTCAACCTTCTAATGGAAGATATAGTACCAATGGCTGCAATATGACTTGTGATGGTATATGGAAATAATAATATCTACTGTATATTTTTATATTATCATATATTTATATATTAAANCACCTGAAATTTGTTAGAAAACGTATGTATTGTGCTCATTAAGAAATAACAGCATCAAATTTCGCCTGGCGACTAAATTTTGAAGTAAAAATTTTTTCTCGATAATCTAAAGCGCATACTCTGGACTACGTATACCAAATTTGATTAAGATTTGCCCAATGGTTCTTTCTATACAACGCTCTGAACACCTATTCTTTAATTATATATTGAGATTAAGAGAGGTAAAATGAGACTTTCTCCCAAATCCATAAAAATATACGACTTTTGTATCATTTTTTCTATATAAAAGACTAAATTTTAGCCTCTATACGTCCAGATCCTGGGCTAAATAGCCTTGTTTACACCATTTATGTGGTTCTGCAAATAGTTTAGTTATAGATTCTACTAAAACTTTACAGAAAAATATACTACAAATTTACCAAATCGCTATTTATAGTTATGTTTATCATGAATTACTTAGAATAAACTTACATTCATAAAGATATTTTAAGCTATATATTTTTCTGAATTTATCTCTTACTACATCTAAATTTAATAGAATAAAATTTATATAAATTACTTATAGGAAGTATATTTTGTTCAATGAAGCTTCACATTATATATTGATTGATAAATTACACCTTTTAAAAATAGTTCTCTATTATAACTTAAATTTAGACATTTTATTTCAACTTGATTCTTCTCAATAGGAATAATATTAAAGTATGTTTCATGAATTTTCTATTATTTTCCACATTTTCAACAGTTTATAGTGTTAAGAGATACCTTCTCAAAATTATATACCATCAAACCATATGAAACTGGGACAGAAAAGATATTTGGACCAGATCAGGATACATTTATACCCAAAATTTAGTCTTCTATGTATAAAAAAAGTTAAGGAGTTGAAGGTTATATATACTAAAGTGTATGTTAGTAAGTGGTACAAATTCTAGTTTTTTTTATTTGTTTTATTGATTTAATTCATATTTATCCATGTGTTTTAGAGAAAGGTGGAGTCCACATTTACTTATCTCACCTCTTTCAAGCCCTGAATCACAAAAATTTATCATTTTCTCTCTCATTTTCTTCAACACACTAAATATAAATTTCATTTTTTGCATACTCTTATAGAGTTTATCAATCAAATGTTCTCTCGCTATTTACTTTATTTTTAGAGCATGACATTACAAAATTAAAATGTGTTTATTTACTATTGTATTACTTTGCGTGTAAGAAATTAATTAAATATAAATATTTACACACATATAGGAGAAAATTGAGGTCGTTTATTTTATTCTAAATTTAATTTGTCCGATAACCCTGTAATATCGATCAGAATACGAATAGACCTCATATTTATTTTTTTTTTTTTCTTGTCCGAGAAACCTGTTTCTATCACGAAATAAAAAGCTCAAATTAGTCAAGTTTTTTTCAATATACTGAACAAAATATTCATCTGATGATCTGTTTGAAGTTTTTTGAATGTAAAATGCCGGATATTTTATCTAAATTTGATTGTTTCTTTAGAGAAAGAATATTGAAAAAACATGTTAAAAGCTTGTTCGTTGCAGTCCGATAACCCTTTTCCATTAATACTATTTGGAAAGAAGAAAAATTCTGCTCATCCTCCCGAATCAAACCTCTTGATGGAATTACGTTAAGCTTCCACCAGCNTTTATACATATATATGTATGTGTATACATTTGTTTTTTAGGTTGAAAAACATGGATTTGAATTATTATAATACTTTATCTCCCAATAATTCAATTAGATCTACAATGAAAGAAAAAAATTAAACAAATAACAACAAAATTCATATCTAAATAGTTTAAGATCACGTTTTATGAAAAAATTTATACTGTAATTTATTGAAATTTAACAATGATAAATCATATTTACGCTAGATTATGAATATGTTTTATCAGACATTTTGTATTACTTCAATGAGTTTTCTTAATGTCTGATAAATTTTACTTGAGAAAAAATTCAACCAACCTTAACAGTATTTAAAAGGAATTGATAAAGAGTGAGAATAAGCCATTGTTTTCTCTAAAAGACCATTTAGAGCGGGACAAAAAGGATATGTCACGATACAATGTCAAAGAGATGCACTTAATGAGAATGTTAATCTAAAAGGTTACATCACGAATTTTAGTTCCTTGATAATTTTTCCACATTTACTTTAAAACTAGTTAAATAAATCTTATATACTGTAAAAATATATTAATATCTTCTTATATATGGTATAAATATTAATAACTTTTTATATATGGAGCATATATTAACATTTATACCTCATACAGGAAGATTTACTTAATTTTCATGTTTTATATGTATATTTTTATATAAGATAATTCTATTTATAGATATGATGTGAATGATACTAAACACATATTTAACCATAGAATAGCATAGCTGAACTGTTATAAAATCCCCAGATATTCAGGTATTTCCTGAACTATTTCAGTACACAGGTGAAGTATAGAGTGTCTAAGGAGCATTTTTAAGTTATAGAGAGATATAATTGTTATTATATTTATGATTTTTTTTGAGAATTTAATAAATGCCTTAAATGATTTATTAGGAATAATGAGGTGTTTTTTTTTTTTTTGTTTGATGTGGAATGATCATATTCTAGGGCGTTTTTATAGATGTTATCAATTTGTGTCACTTGAAAAATGGCGGAAGTGTAGATTTAACAAAAGAAAATATATATAAAAGCCTTCTGGGCATTTGGTATTTAAGAAAAACTAATAAAAATGTAGTTATTGAATGATATTTATTATAAAACTATAATAAATGTACTTGTAAAGTGTTAAAAGTCAGAAATTTCGATTAAAAAAGAATGAATTTTACCAAATTTTACTTGAAATGAAGAAGAAAATGTTTGAAATTGTAGAACGTGCTTTTTCCCGCTCCCGCCAATTCTTTTTCTATTTTTTTTTAAGCCCTCTGCCGGTCATTTTTTTTAAATTATTTTTTTGTAATAGTATAACACATAAAAGCGAATTTTATATATAAAAATATTAATTAAATAAATGAAATATTCAATAAAAATTATTTTTCATAATTTATTTAGCATTTATTTAAGAATTGTTAAAATTCCCAGAAAAACAGTACATAAAACCAAAAACCTGTTTCGGTTCTTACCAATTAATAATTATTTTTAAAACATCTTAACATTTCCTTTAATATAATTTTCTATTTGTTCCATCTCTTGCGCGAAAAACAAAGAAAAAAAATCATACTAAAATATTTATTTAGGTTAAATTGTTGTCTAGGAAAATAGGATTAAACCATGATGTCGTGATTTACATTGATGTAAAGTTTAAGATTTAAAACAAGTTTTTTTTTTATATTCTGTGACGAGAATAACACGATGACTGCAAATCTTAACGAAGTGCACAGATAAGTACAAAAATAACAAAAAAAGAAGAAAGATGGATGTTTGACCTGATTTATTCAAGAATATAACATTGTCCTGACAACTTAAATCTTAACCAAGAAGTCATTACTGTATTACAATAAATTTCCTATTAAAAATAAAAGAACGTTACTTTCTATTTTATTCTATTATACAAAACGTTTTTATGTAAGTTATGAAGTAAATTTCTTTTCGGCTACGGTAATACGCGCGGTCAATTTACATCAGTTAATTATAATCGATTTTTAATTTTATATAAATTGTGTAATAATTATTAATTTTAACAAGATTAATTAATATTAATAAATAAAATTTCTCGGAAGTTTTTAAGAATTAATTGATTTAGCATCGTCTGCTAGCGTTTTGCAACACGACGACATGAGGAGGCGCTGACCAATGTTTACAGGTCAACCACGTGGTCGATTGGAAAGGTTTGGAGAAGATGAGATTTATTTCATTTCTTTACACCGCTTCTGTCGAATTCTCTTAGAAAGAGATAATAAACGCGACACTTCCTGTAAGTTTTCCTAGTGGTATAAAAGTAGATTTATAGGTCATTTGCTTTCAATGTATTTCTGCCAGTCAAGTGGGAAGAACTGGAGAATTTCTTATTCCTCAAGTTCAATATGAGGTAAGTTGATTATAATTTCTTCTTGGATATCTTTTTAACTTTCTATTAAATTGGAATTTATTTTATATTTTTTTATATGTACTTTATATAATTGATTTTGCATTAATTCGTATATATGTATTTATCATCAATATAACAAATGGTTCACATAAGTTATAATTATTTCTTATATTCAATATCATAATATTGTATAATATATATTGCATTATATTAATATATTATGTAATATATATTTATATCATATTTTACTTTATAAAAGTCTTGAAGAATTACATAATATCTTTAAAGATTTTTAAATTCAATCATTTTTCTGGAATTTTTT